TACTTTGGATTGAACAATAATACCACGTAAATAATTTTGTAATTTGATAATAGCTATACGACGATGATCATGTCTCTAGAGAAAAAAAAATGTAGAAATATAATTTGAGAAAAATTTTGCATAGAAACTTCTATTTGTGTTGGTATTGTTTGTGATTGTTTAACATGATTTATTAGTTCAATTTTTTCGACAAATCGAAGAGATTTTTTTTCTGGTATTAATAATTGTTTAGTTTTTTCTTCTTGAATCAACTAAAACTTTCTTTTAATTTAAATTTTTCAAAGAAAATTGTTCTTATACTTGATGAGCTTTCTCTAAATCTCGAATGTGACGAGATGCTTTTTTATTATGATTATTTTTAAATATCATTAATTGATCAGGCTCATCAATTTCTGCAATTAAAGCATTTTTAGGAAGTGACTCTTCTAATTTGAATATATCTATTCGAGATTGATGAATATGTCGATCAAATAAATAATTCAAATTAGAACAAGGTGTATATATTTTCGAAGTTGTATTTTTAAAAGTTGTTATTATATCATCAGGTCGTTTATGCCATGGTGGTTTCAATGAAGTAAAACAACCATTTCCACGTTGATTGATACCAATCACTCCCAAATGATTATAACCTGTTACTGCATTTATTTGAGCTTCTCGTAATCGATACACACGTTTCATACGACGAATATCTATAAAACATATTAGTTTTAATGAATTTTTTCCCATGTCGTTAAGCACCTCGAGATGTTTCAATTTCAAGTCGTTCATGCTGTGATTTCAATTGTTTTTCTTGTCGGTATATAAATAGATCAATGATATTGTGTGTAAGATCTTGATCAGTTTTAATATAAGTATGAAGATTTTTTGTGAATAATTTAAGATGTGTATCTTGTAACCTTACCATAAAATAGATCTTCATTATTAAATAAAACTAAAAATCAAAATCGTACATTTTGATTTCTTTTTCACGTATTTGCCATTGACGTATTTCACGTTCAATAATTATTTTAGTACGAGTCATATCTATTGTATGATCTTTTTCCCATTCACGACGAGCTCGTAAACGTTCGATAAAAGAAATTTCGACAGATGTTACTGGTAAACCTTTACCTGTAAATAAACTATTTTCAAATGTTAAAAACAAAAAGTTTTATTACCATAAGTAAAGTCAGATAGAGCAAATACTTCAGGATGTTCACCACCAGAGATGGTATATGTCGGTGAAAATGGATCGGTTTGTGTTGATTCCTCTCGATAATCAGTCTGTGATCCAATATAATGCATATAATTGGTTGTTTTTTTGTTTGTTATTAGTTTTGATTGAATATATTTTTTAGCATTTTCTTGAAAAATGAGTTCCATTGATCTAAAAAATTTTTTACCATTGAAAAAAAAAATTAATAGACAAAAAAAGAAAAAGTGTTCTGTGCAGGTGTCGAACCTGCGACCTTCTGCGTGTTAAGCAGATGTGATAACCGCTACACCAACAGAACCACGTTCTATCTATTAATTTTTGAGCGTATCATTCTAATCCGGTGAGTTTTCTCGATAAGATGATAACTCAATACATGAATTTTTTATGTGTAAAAATATTAATCAAAAGCCATAACTATTGTTTGCATATGCTTTTGTTGTA